CGGGAAGGTCCCGTATGTCTTGAGCATCTCAAATAGCAGTAAATATAAGGGATCTACCTTTCGCAAAAACGGATATCATTAAGACTGAAAAACATAAGAGTCGAAAGAAGACTAACACAACAGTGTATGCTATATAAACTGGTACTTAATACCAGTAATGCGGCTGAGTGAGTGGCGCTGGGATCTCCTTGAGTCCTGCCTTTCCTTCCACGAGTGGAGAGAAAGGTTTGGATTGGAGATCTTGTGTGAAGAAATTTTGCAAATAATTTATAAAAGCATGTGTGTATTTAAGTATTTATTTTGATTAGTTTAGTTGAATTTTCTCTAGTTTATATACATTTACTTTTGGTATTATTATTTTGCCGTTTATTTATTTTTATTTGTTGTACATAGAGTGTGAATGAGCTACTCTTCTGTCACTATTACTATTGTCCTCAATTGTGACAGATATAATATTTCTCAATAAAGAATTGAAATTGAGTATATAAAAACATGTTGTAAATCCACGAAAATATATACAAATGTTAATATGTGACTACCTACTGCAGGTCGGAAGATTTTATAACCTTGTTCTGCTTAGACCTTGATATTTGTTCTCCTCTTTCATAAGATATTGCATAATGGGTACTCATTTATTATACAGTTCTGTAATATTTGTTTTATGATTTTGATGTTTTGGTAAAAGCATATAAAATTAAGAAAACAAAATGAAATATACAAACCCGATCTTCGTAAACAAATTAAAACTAAAGATATAAAATTAAAATGGGTTGGAAGTTATTCTTAAGTTCTAGCTTGAAAGAAAAATAAAAATCCAAAAGTTATTGGTGTCAGTTGGAACAGCAGTAGTTCAGCTTTCGGTTATATTAAAGTTGAATTTGAAGTTAGGAAAGGAGTTAGGAATGCTTCAGTTGACGGTCGGAATAAAAGTCATCCAAGAAAATCAAGTACTAAAAGTTGTATTTTTTTGTTTATTATTATTTTCAATAATGAACCATTGTGATCGACCAAAAAATTCAAAAACTTAACCACCTCTCAACATATGATGTTTTACGTTTCAGGATACGTATAATTCGAAAAACGAAATAAAAATTGTTGCCCGTCCGCCGTCCGCGTATTATCTCCGAAATTACTTTACCAATTTTTTTCAAATGTGTATATAAAATCAGAGGTCATCCGAGGATGAGTCTCCTTTATCGACATTACTATCCGTCTTTTACTTTCAAAATAGCGGCCGAAAAACTTACGTTACTTTAGACTGTAGTGCTTAAACGAATGTACCGATTTCAATGAAACTTCGCTAAAGTCATTTTCTCCACACCCTTTAAATTTATCTATATAACATACTTCAACGAAAAGAAGCTTGAAAAAAGTTACGAGGGATGGTAAAATTAAATACCGAATAACTCAAAAAGTACACACTTTTTTGTTAATGTTGTAGGTGACGCTAATCTTTTTAGCATATTACCAATGATTGAAAAAAAAAGTTTAGTCCATTAATTGGAATCACCTTTTATTTATTTTTCTTTGTAACTAGGAAGGTAATGCTACTTTAGATGTATAATTATTTGGAAATAATAAACCAGTGTGAAATAATTTGCAGCGTTTTTATTTATATAACGATACGTATTTAAGAATTTTAAAGAGCCCTAAAAAAGAATCTAAGGAACATTTTTCATAATAAAAATTTACTTGGTCTACTTTACTGGAACCACTTTTTGGTTTTTGTAATTTATAGAACGTTATGACTCACTTAATACAATGGTTAATATTTTTTTTTCTTATTTTGCACACAAAAAAATAGAATAATACACACAATAAACTAAAAATTCGGTCAAAGCAAAGGCAAAAATAAATAACATAAATTTTGTTTGAAATTGTATAAAATATTTTTTTCTCGACTCCTCCTAGGGTCCATTGGAAAGAATATCGGGACGTGTCTAATATTTTTCGATGTTGTACAAAATAAAAAAATTGGTTGAAATCGGTGACCTACTGACTGTATCTTCTGCTTGTTGGTATATAAGCATAGACTATTGTCCCTAGTTTCGTAAGTTGAGTGAGAATATGTAGTCCTGATGTATTATATTTATATTTATAGATTAATGAGGAAAATTGTATCTATCATAAACATTTATTTAAATAGTGTGAAGGTGAAAAAATGTTTCAATATTTATTATAATTCATTAATTCTCTATTTTTTAGTAATTATAAAATTTGAAGATTGATCGACTTCGATTAAAAATAAAGTTTGACTGGTACCTTTTTTGATTAAAAATACGCATGGATAATACCCTGGATGTTTACATAGCTCATTCGAGCATGACTTGGGAACTGTTTACAAAGTTTTTTGATGAATGGATGAGATCCCGGTCGGCCTAAGATGGAGAAGCAACGGTTCCTAAATCGGGAAATGTTCTACGCCAGAAACCTTTTGAAAAAGGTCAGTCCAAAGGATAATGGGTTTTCGCTTCGATGTCGGATGGAAGCATTTCTGTTTTCTCAAGTCAGGATCATAAACGATACATATCAGATCCACTCTACATTACTAACAAATGTGAATTCTAATGAGGACAATCATAAAATTTTCAAGAAACGAAATATAATACCTTCATAAAGGTATTATGAAGTGGTAATTAATGTAATACAAACCACTTAAAAATGAAGTTAACTTTCAGTTCATATTCCTCACTAGCTCTTATATTTTATTAATGTGAGTAAACAAAGAAATGAATAAAAAAATGAAAAACAGAAGAGTAGTTTGAGAAAGCATTTTTTAAACTACTTAAACGACGACACTTGTTTATGAACTGAAAAAAACAAAGAATAATAAAAAAATAGGACCGAAGGAGAAAAAAGCATCTTTTTTATTATTTTTTTTTTTTTTTACTTTCCTGCCTATACTAGGTTAGGAAAGTATTGCGGTCGTGTCAAATTTCCGATGTACGGTTTTCGACCCATCTGTATGTTTCAGAGCCTCTGAGTCAGACAAACACATTTTTTAAATTGCATTTTTGAGCTCCGTGGATCCTAAAATCCATAAGTATATTTTTTAAAGAAAATAAAGTTATAATACATCCTTTAATCTGTATTATCTTATTTTAATGGAAGTATGACATATTAATATATTGTAAAATATATTAAGACCATATTCCTTTCAGACGCCATAAGCGATTATGGACTACTGATTAAAAAATCTTGTTACGAAATAATGAGTTGATAATGAATGGGATTTACACTTTTTCTGGTCAAGGTGGAATTTTAAGAACCTTTTGTTTGTTATATAACGGTTTGTGTTAATGACATTGTATTCAAATCCCTAGAATGGAGATGAAAACACTACTATTCTCTTAAATCAACAATTGATGATCGCATTGGAGAAATATAATTTTGAATAGAAAATATATCCGTATTAATAAAGTTACCTTTTTTTTTTTTTTTTGAGAAATTTTTCCTCAACTTGAAAATAAAAGTTCACGGTCAGCTGGTATGTTAAATCCTAACATTCATAAGACGTTGACTTCAACCGGCCAGTCAAACACCTTTCAAAAAGCCTTTTTTGCTTGTAGTTAAAATAAATAATATCATAATTAAATGTACCTTTGAAAAAAAATAATAATTTTAAGATGCGTTGAATTTTTTTCTTGTTTTAATTCTGTGGAAAATTTAACTTATTTTTTTTTCTTAATGATAATCACAATTGTATTTAAGAAATACATTTAGTAAATTTGAACGTATGGATATAATGTCGTGAAAACACTTGTTGAGAAACTACCCAGTGGTAGCATTCCAATGTATGTCTACGTTAGGAGATCACGGGGCCATCTTCTTTTCAGACGCCTCGGAGGGCTATCAGGAATTGAAGAGGAAGTAAGGTTAGAAACGAGAGGGTTGGGATGATTCTGAAGTTTATTATGGAAGGATAGGTATATCGATTGGGCCAGATCTGGAGCATAAGACACATTAAGGTCATTATGGATGGTTTTATTTGAAACAAAGTCGGGAGCTTTGGAGAATTTTGGATTGCAAGGATTGGATATGAGAGAAATTTGATGGTTTAGTGGAGCCTCATAGCTCAGCTCCGTAAATCCAAATATGCCTTATTATGGTCATGAGTCTCTTGTAATTAACTGGAAGCTTAGAGCGTTTGTTTCTACAGAATTAAAAAAAAATAGCTTTTTCATAGCTACACATGATTCAATTTTATTCGCTTATTTTAAATGTAGTATTTTTTTTTATTCAACTCGTCCGCCGATGTTTCGCATACCAGTTTACTTTGCTTTATTTCATTGAAGGAAATTTACTCTAATAATTTCTCTGAAAATTTCAGATGCTTATTTGAATGATGATTTGATATATTTAATTTAAAGTGGTTTAAATTCGGTAATTTATTATTACAACAAATTCCCTTGAATTCATCCCTGCGTTTCAATTACTTTGGTTGTTTAAGGAAGCAGTTCCCTCATCCAGCGCCTTTTTAGTCTTTTCCTTAATTTCAATATCAGCTGTAGCCTTGCTTCTTATATAACCGTTGTTACAACCGATTAAATTTTGAGAAAGTCGTTGGTAAATGGTCGTTCTATATTGTTTAACTGTTGTTAAGTGAATAACTATATGTAGATTTTTTTTCGAACGTACCAAGATGCTTTGTTATGAGTCGTAATTGAAGGATTTGAAGTTTTAGTTGGTGGCGCTTTTTACCGCCTATCTGCGATGAATATGTCAATTTGGATTTAAATAAGTATGTATATTTAAGGTTCAGTTTTGACATTTTCGAAAAAGTGGATAAAGTACTTTGATGTGGATGACGTCGTTAGTTTAGGGTCATTCATTTGTACATACGTGCCCCAAGTCATTCTTCTGTTTTAGTTTAATCTGTGATAAAGTACCGTGTCCGTTTGAGATATGTATTAGTGAATATAAACTGGAAGGAAGGTATTTTATAAATAAATAAATTATATTGATTTTAATATATGTTTAATTGAAGTAGCATTTAAACAATTATAAGTGTTCAATGTTAAAAAAAATATATATTTTATTTTTTTAACTGAATGTTTAATGAATACGATCTAACGTAACTGTAGAAAAATAACTTTCTATCTAAAGAAAGGTTATTCATTTCACTGCGTGTACCCGCACTTCAAGCAAACCATTCATTCCTGCTACTTGACAATCAAGATTCAAAGCATATATTTTTTTATTCGGTTTAAGGTATTCGGAATCCATTGTTTATTGTATGAATTACTTATCTCTCCCTTTCCTCCTCTGTATAAGTTCCATTTCCCCGTAAATTGGTGAGTGGGAGGGGGGGGATGAGGTAGAGTGGTAAATATACGACCGTGAACTTGCGTTTCCACCCCCCTGGGTGACGTCAAGAATGACGCGCGCAGCAACCCCGTCACACGCCGCCCCCAGTGATGCTCGTGACAGGGGGGAAGGCTGTTGTCGGGGAAGTGGTGCCCCCTCCCGAGCCCCCCCAGGCTGCTGAGGACGCCTGGGACTACCAGCGTGAGTACTTTGTGCTACAAGATAGTGTGGATTAGTTAACTAAAGTAAAAAAAAAAAAAAAAAAAAAAAAATGAGTTGGGAACTATATAGGGAAAAAACTTTTGTGGTCTTAATAAGATTATTATTTTTTTATTTAACTGAATCTATGGCTTAACGATGATAATGAATTATTATTCTACAGAAAAATACGCTTTACGTCGCGTAGGTGTTTTTTTGTTTCGTTTTTTACATTTCTTTTTTAATAATTTCAGAATTTTTTTATTTGTATATTATTGATTATATATAAATTTTATGTATTTAATTATGTGAAAAAGGTGTATGACATCGTTCGAATTGAAATTTACGTAACCTTAACTTGTAGACATATACTCGCGTAACCTCCCCTAACCAATAACAGAATGGAACAGCATATTTTAAATTTAAATATTTTGTTTAATATTTATCTATTTGACTTCTTTCCATTCAATAAGAGCATGTGAAGTATTTATAAATATACAATAAACCAATGATAGAAACTTTTTTAGAAGTTCCATTTTAACAGTTTCTCCAAAACTATTTAGGTAAAAACGCTTTTAAAATAATTTTTTTAAATAAAGTGCCATCAAATTAGGCATAAATAGTGTTTCTGCTTAGATTTGAGTTATAATTTATCTTTCTTGTTGATTGAATGAATGAATTTCCTTATTGTTATGTGTCGTTTGTTTTATAGGAAAAATAAAGAATAAAAGTTATTTTTTTAAATTATATTTTTGTTCAAATCGATGGTATTTTTTAAAAAACCTATTTTTATAAATACAAGTTCTATAAAACATTTACTGGATAAGTTGCAATGGAAGAAGTTCTAATTATGAATTTAACGACACAATTTGAAACTAAAGATTCTAGCCATACTGAAACTGATTAAAAACGAATGTTAAAACTTCTTTCCAAGCTCTGCAATAAATGCACGAGATAATGAAAAATCTCATTCTTATATAAACAATTGACCATCCTATTAGTTAATGTCATTTTCGTTTTAATGGCTTATGACAATTAATGCCGATGAACAATTAAAATTCAATGGACATCCAGACAACAAAAATAAAATAAAATGTAATATATATATATATATATATATATGTTATCTTATGATAGCCGACGATTGCTCTTAAACTTTTCCTTATTAGCCCGAGGTACAGACCCCTTTTTAATCAAATACTGACCCCCGGATGTTAATTAAATTATTAATATCCGACTGAAACTTCGTATATAGCTTCATAACGTTGTAACCTACAACTATTTTATTTACAAACATTCTCTGAATTTGGGCGTTTTCGATTTCGTAAATCAGCAAACTTTGTCTATTTAATTAGGTACTAAAAATTCGTAAATACTTATTTGCTTTCCACTTCTATCGTAAGATAACTTGAGCACAAAATCGAGAAAAAAGATTGTCTTAAAAAATAGTGAGCCGTTTGGCGTGACCTATACCCCCTAAAGATCAAAGTAATGAGGTAATATAGGCCAAAAGGACCAAAATGTTGGTAGGCCACCTTTTTTCTCGATTTTGTTATCAAATTATCTCACGATCCAAGTGTAAAGCAAATTGGTATTTACGAGTTTTAAATACTTAATTAAATAGACAATGTTTGGCGATCTCTAAATTGAAAACGTCCCAATTCCAAGAGTTTTCGAAAATAAAATAGTAGATTACGATGAGATGAAACCATTTCCAAAGTTTCTGGTGAATGTCGATAATTTGATAAAAAGGGGTCTGTCCTACTGACGTATAATTTTGTCATGATGATGTCACTAACTTTTTTAATTGTTTTAAAAATTGATTCCTATAAACAAATAAAACTAAATAGATATTCTTGGATAACAGAATATATATAATTATTTTTTTCCTGTTATGTTATGATTGCCGGTTATTGTTAATAATTGTTTTTCTTATCACGATGTTCCCTCAAACTTTTTCTTTTGTTAAGTGTATATATTTTTTTTTTACCTCGTAATATTATTTTATTCGATTTCTTCAATTATTAAGTTATAGTTTCATGTAAATTTCACCTTAATAAATAATGAATGTAACCCTTTTTTTAATAGTTTATGACAATTAATTCCAATGTACGAATATAACTAAATAGCCATTATAAGATAACAGAATATTTAATGTTTTTTTTCTATTATTTAATGAGAGCCGATGATTGTTGATAATTGTTTTTCTCGTTGCGATATTTCCTTAAACTTTTCCTGATGTTAAGTGTTTATTTTTTTCTTTTATCACGCAGTATTATTTTATGTGATTTCTTTAATTATTAAGTAGTTTCCTTTAAATGTCACTTTAATAAATAATTAATGACATCTTTTTGTTTTAATGGTTTATTAAAAATTAATTCCGATAAAGGAATAAAACTAAATATCCATTATAAGATGACAGAATATATATAAATGTTTTTTTTTTCTTTTTCCCGTTATCTTAGATAGCCAATTATTGATAATAATTGTTTAACTCGTTTCATAATTGCTTTACGAAGTTCCGTTAAACTTTTCCTCGAGTAAGTGTTAATTTTTTTCATTATATAATGTTACTTTCATTTTATTTCTTAAATTATTAAGAAAGTACTAAGATACTAATTACTAATATACTATATAAGATACTAACTATGACTAAGATACTAATAGTTTTGTTTAGTGAGGGATAACGCCTTATCATTAGATTTAATAAAAATAATAAATGATATATGAAAAAATTATAATAAGAATTACTATCAGTTCAATCTGTTGGAAATTGTTCAAACAATGATTATTTTTGCTTCTTCACTACCTAAGGTAGGGAAAGCTTTGTATTTTCTTTTATCTTACAATGTTATTGTATGCGATTTTGTTCAGGATTTTGGAGCATCCCTTTTTCTTTTTGAAGGTAATTAAACATTTATTTGTTGAAAATCTAGAGAAATATATATTTTCAATATAGATACTAATTTTTTCTTACCTTATTGTTCTGTGTATTATATTTAAATAGGTTTAAAAAACTTCCTAAATATTTTTATTTCTTTTAAAACCTTTCCCACGAGTACCTGGGTACTGAAATAGAGTGAGGTAATCGTTTTAAAAGTGCCAGCTTGAAAAGTAGTATTGAGGTTAGTAATACGTTTTAACTGAGGCAGGCCAAGAATTCTGATCGGCTCTACCCGTCTTTAAAAACACTTCGGAATATATATTGCTTTTGCGAGCTGACTTCGTAATTTCCTGGTTTTTCTCCTTAATTTTCCGATTTTTTTTTTTTTATAAATTCACCTGTCGTTTAACTATTATTTTATTCACGCATTATTCAAATGGTTTTTAACTCCCTACTAATTTTAATTCCATGTGAAAAATATTTAAATTAGTTGAGACCCTGGCTGGATAGAAACATTTTTCTCGTTTTGATTTTTTACCTCAGGGTCGGCACTGTTTAAATAAATTCTCACAATATACGAATAACGACGCCAAACATGGATTTGTTTTGAGAAACTTAAAAAAAAAAAAACATTGAATGTTGTGAAAATAAAATCTTAGCTATCCACTATTTTCCTACTTTTTTTGTTACTTACTATGGCTCTGTGTTAACAAAACCAAAACAGTAATATTTAAATTTGTTGCAAAGTAATGTGTAATATATAAATATATATGAAAATAACAGGGTGGCCAACCACTCCCGAACGGAATTAAATGTATTAAAAAAAAGTAAAGTATCACCCAAACTGAAGACAATTTTTTAAAAATCTTTCTACCGCTTAACTTGAAATAACACCAAAACTTTGTAGTTTATAACGTTTAGAGTTTTTATTCTGTTTTAAAATGTTTTTTTATTTTCACGCAGAAGTGAGAAACAGTTGACCAATTTACCCTTATTTCCAACAAAACCTGTCATCTTCTATATGGATTTTGGAAATGTAAAGTAATTCTGTCACCAAAATTCCTTTCTGTTTGTTAAAGTTGATTAGTGGTTCTTAGGTTGTTTTATTATATCATGTTTTTAATGGATTTCAGATTACTTTTTTTTTTATGTAACGTCATATCTATACAAGAGCTTATCCAATACATAACTGACCAACAATACATTGTCTGGTTTTAAAAATTATCAACAACAGTATCCGAAATATATCTTTGGTCGCTCCATGTCAGCAGATCTCACGTCCATGCTCTTTTCGGTCTTCTTTCTTCTTTGGTAAGTCGTATAGTTTCTTTGCTATTGGATATTATAAATACATATTATAATGCGGTCTATCGTTGTCACAAACTCAGATAACGCGAAACTTGCGATAAATATTTGTAATTTCTTTTAAGTTTCAATAACAATGCATTCCCAAAATTCCCAAATTTTTTAATTCCAGATTGAAACGAATGATTTTGTTTACAATAATCACTAAAAAATCAGGCAACAGTTGAGTGAAGTTTTTTGCTTGCTTACACAAATTTTATGTACAAATATTTAGTAAACAATTCTCAGTAACTCCTCACCTGACCTCTCTATCAGCCTTTACATTCAGTTTTAACTGTACTCCTCACATGAAACAACTGTTTCCCAGATTGTAATCATAAGAGGAAATTCAATTTTAATGAAGTATATTAGGTAGTTTCGGGCAGAAGTAGTATAGTTTAGAGAAAACATATTATATACAAATTAAACAGTTACCACGATACCTATTGATTTAAAAACCAAACACTGGATAATAAGCGATTAGTGACACGAATTTTTATTTTATTTTTTTATTTATGATAATTACTTCTGTATTAATAAATAAAATGCATTTAGTAAATTTGATAACAGAAAATAATAACATGAAATCACTTGTTGGGAAACTGCCCACTGGTAATACTCTAAAAAAAAAAAAATTATTTACAAAAGCAGATCTCGAAGCCTCGGAGGGTTATCAGGGATAGAAGAGAAAGCAAGGTTAGAGACGAGAGGATTCGGATGGCTCTGAAGTTTATTATGGAAGGATTGGTATCTATATTGGGCCAAATCGGAAACATAAGGAACATTAAGGTCGTTATGGATTATTTTATTGGTGACAAAGTAAGGAGCATTGGGGATTTTACGAAGGATTTTGGATTGTAAGGATTGGATACGAGAGGAATTCGATGGCTTAGTGGAGCCCCAAACCTCAACTCCGTAAGTCAAAATAGGTCTTATTGTAGTCATGTATATGATTCTTTTGTAATTAACTGGAAGCTGAGAGCGTTTGTCTAGTGAAGTGTTGGAATAGGCTGAAACGTCAAGCAGTTTCTTGTCGTTTCAGTCTAGTATGAGGATTTCAAGTTAGACGTTTGTCCAAGAGAAGTCCAAGGTATCGGATTTGTTCAACAGGGATAAGTGAGGTATTATTATTATTATTAAGGATACTGTAGGACAGGAGGTCGTAGGTTTACGGGGAAGGATAAAGGTAATTTGATGGGATTTTTTAGAATTTATTTTAATATTGACACGAATTGAAAACAGTAATATCTAAACAATTTAATATTCCGGGACAACCTTATAAATTTCTAGATTTGTTGTATCGTCAAAGCATCTTGGTAAAGCAAGAAAAATAAAATACCGCTGAAGAATAAATTGAGCGCCAAATAGAATAAATTGAGATTTTTAGTGAAAAGGGTCTATGAGTGATAATACTGTCAGTCAGTATAAATCAATTTTTATATGTATTTTCACATCAAATCTATCATAATAATAACTAAAAATTTCACTTCCTTTGTTTTTATGCTTTAACTTGTCTGTTTGGAAACTGTTAGAGGCGTAAACAAAACAATCGTTTATAAAATCAGATCAATCGAATTTTTATTTTTATTTGTTTGAGGTACTGCTGCATACAGGAACTACTCCCATGATGCTTATTTTATTAGATAGAGAAATATTATATACTCATTATAAAATTATTATACTCAAATTGAAACTATTTTTTTTTCAGTTTGAAATAAAAAAAAATATATTTACCTCGTCTCCCATATGCTTTTTGATGGGTAAAATACTTTCTTCCATTAATTATTCCATTATCTCTTCTATCAATGGCTTTGAACCCCCAATTTAATCATAAATTTACGTTGATTAATCCTCTTAGCAACGTGTTTAATCAGGCTGGCATCCCGTCAGCGTTAATTAATAACGTGCTCTCAAGCGCTAAAATTTCATGTCAACCACAATAACGCTCTAGCATAAGTTATGTACGAGTATGTATTAGCATCTTTATTTTTTGTAGGCACTTTATAGCCTCAAAAGATTTGCCCATAAATTAATTAAATACAATCGAGGATTATTTTATTTAAAGGAAATTTTGAATATTACGATTGCAATATAAATTTTAATTCTCATTTTAAATTGTGTCCTGCATAAGTTTGCGTGATAAATAAATTAATTGCAAGTAGGCACTAAAATAAAGAATTGAATTAATATGCAAAAGACGCCAACCAATTTTTCTTCTTTTTTTATAAGAATTGAGAAGAAAAATTCTTTTTTACAAATTGTACACCTTATTATTTTAATAGATTATTTTTTTTAATTTCTTTGCATATGAAATAATTTTTTTATATTAATACCTAATCATGTCATCTTCACACGATTCTTGATACAGAATTTCGTAGTATCTATCACTTATTTGTACAATTTCAATGTGTTTCTGTTACATTTTCTATTAAGAATTTGTTATCGTCATTGGAAGAAAGTAGGATAAACGTCATAGATCATTCTTTTTATGGTTATGGATTCCCTATATACTAGCATACGAAACCGATTTCTCCTCGTTAGAAATTTATACTCTATACGATAAGTATGCTTTACCTATACTTGATCAAATATTTAATTTATTGTTGTATTTTGATTACCCTACCTATTATTGTTAGCTTCTGATATCGTTGGAAATTTCTTCTGTGTTGGTGAAACTGTTTTAGTTCGATCTACTGTCACAATTTTATTATTTTATTTACTACTAAAGTTAGATTTGCCATCTTTTATTTTGGATTTGCGCTAATGTTTAATGTTGAATTTGTGTTATTTCTGAATAAGCGAAATGTTGACAAGTTATTTTATTGCTATTTGTGAGGTTCGGTGAAATGTTTTCTATTTCACCAATAATGTTTTAAAAAAAGAATTTAATACCCTTTTTCAAATTTGCTTTATTCCATTATTGGTACTCTTTATTGGAATAATTGGAATTCTTACTTTATTTTTCATTCTCCAAAGTTTCATCTTTCTATTAAACTTTTTTTTCAAATCTTTTTAATTTGTTTGTTATTTTATTTTTATAAGAAATATTACATTATCCTGAATGTTTTTAATTTTAAAATAAGTTTCCCCTTTCTCTTGAAAATGTTCCGAAATGGGCTGGAACGTTGGAGAAAGGAAAAAAAAAATTAAAACCTATGGATCAAATATGGCGTTTGATTATCATAATATTTCTTATTTCGTTTGAATTAATTTTTCTTAGATTGTCCAAGTATAGAAATCCTTTGAGTAATAAATTGGCATCAAAATAACCGAAAAAAGTCGTTGAATTTAAATCATTTCTATGGCATACTTTAAAGATATTACAGTCTGTTATCGACTAGTGTTTTGTTAAAAGGCTCTTGTGGATGGGAAATATAGCTCTAGCTACCTTGACAGTTTATCGATGTCCAATTGTTCAAGTTGCTGCCTATCCATTGATATCCTCTGCTCAATGACCTCGTAGCTGCGACCTGCCGTATACCGCGGAAGACATCTTCCTTAGAGACTCCTCCCTGGGACAAGCTTCCCTGACCCCATACCGTTAGCGGCCTTGCGACCTCCATACATGCGCGGCCCCTCCTGTGTAATGCTGTACACAGTTGTTACAGACACCGGATCCCAGAGTGCTGGGTGTCAGGACAAGATGCTTTCTACCTGTTACAGGATATCATGGGATAGGTGCGCTACAGAGCGCAGGAACTCTATATCGCATTTAGAGGAACAAAATGAACCATCTCTATGTATAGGATTTTATGTTGTCATCCTATTCATGCATTGTACTTACCCAAAGAAAAAATACCTGATTACCTTTATGACAACAACCTCCTAAATTTTTAACTGGTGCCTTAATATTTTATTTGCTATTATCTTTATAATTTTCTTTTATTTTTAAATTAATAAATGAAAATAATTGTTTTACTTATTGTGTACTAACTATCGATTCATTGTATTTATGTCATGCTTTCTTTTCTTTTCTTTTTTGAAAATCTTTAACTGAGATTTTTTTTAAATTTCTTTCATATCTAATTTTACTGATCATACAAAAATTGATGCCACCTTCGATTTACGATTGTTGCATGTTACACCGAAGAGGAAAACATATTAAAAATCTTCTTAAAATGATAATTATTATTTTTTAAGATTATAATGTTTAAATAGTAAGAATTTTAGCTTATTTCGTAGATAAAATTTAACTTGGATAAAATTCTTTATCTAACACCACATTGTTTAACGTTTCGGATTTATGTCAATTTTCAGAACTTTATTACACTTTATCTTCTTTATATTGAAAATAAGTTCGAACAGTATTACTAAGCCTGAAAATGATAAATGTTCGTTTTAATGTATACCAACCTTAACATAAAATCATCAAAAATATAATTCATATAAGACTGATTTAGTGTTTTATTTTTTTATCTGTTATTTATATTTTGAATTTGATTCATTCTTCAGCGGCCAATCGTAAAACATTTTAATTCTTCTTTTCTACATCTTCAAAATTTTCTTTCTTCTTATCGCTCAGTCTTTATCGATGAAAACTCGTAGCTTTTCCTAGTATGACAGGCCAAATACAGAGAAAGTTTATTATTATATTTTTTTTTGTGAGATGTGAGAAGAAGGGAAGGGTCAAAATCAACACATAATTTGGGAGAAATATGTAATTGTCCTTTGAGAGAGATTGTACGTTGAAACTTATACATTGATTATTACAATGTACAACAATAGATTTGTCACAAGGTGAGTCACCTTTTTCATTTTCCTTTACGTAATGAACATTATTTGCTAGCACATAATTCACTAGTACTGTTAAAAGAGTGAATTACAATAATATTGCACAACTGTGTTGAGTTGCTAAATCACGCGGCATACTCATACAATAAATAAGAGAGAATTTGATGGGACTATTGTAATAAAAAATGTGTCATTTTACAGAATCAAACAAGCTAAGACCAAGATAGGTGGTTATGGATTCCTAACGAGTCTATAATAATAGTTTCTGCCATGGTCTCTATCTGCTGCTTTCGAACAGAGGATCTCTGCAAGAAATTACATGTAGTGACAGGGATGGTTCCTTTGCTTCTGAAGCATAGCCATTTAACTGAGAATTGATGTATTTTAAACAGCCATATCTATATAGATCTGGTAATATTGTTTTTTTTAATGGAATAGGGTCATTAGTCCTTTGAACAACCCTCAACCTGGAGGACCAGGAGCTCTGTCAGACACAGGGATCACTCACCCCTCTGCTGTGTGAGTTGGCTCCAATAGACTGACGGATCTTACATTTCCGAGGGGGGAATTTCGGGAAATCAATAAATAATTAACTAAGAGAAATAGACCAGCGAATAAAAAGTGCAAACAGAGCTTCTTCTCGTTTTGAAGGGTACTGGCCGGCACCATAGAAAGCAGAATTGAGAAATTGGAAAGAAAAGTCCTCTGTACGATAGCAGGACTTATCTGGTTTCTGAACCTTAACACGTGGAGGAGAAGGAACAATATAAAACTATTAAAGGAAACTGTTCAGTCAATATCTCATGGTATGAAGGCAAGGAGGTTATGATGGGCGGGTCATGTAGCTCAAAGCAATCCATCAGGATCCCTTTACACAACAAAGAATGAAAGAGCAGTATGCAACAGACCACTTAGGAAGCCCAAACCCAGATGAATAGATGGGATAAACAAAGATACGACTGGGCTTCATGCCGCAAACTGTAAAGCAGTAGCCCAAGATAGAGAGAGGTGGAGCAGGCTGGTCCAGGCGGCCAAAGATCTACAAGGTCTGTAGAGCCAACCGAAAAGAAAATGTATATATAGGTTTGGATTCAATAACCTTGCTTTTGGAATGGGGCTATGAATAACATCGACTTTTTGCTATGCATGGAGCATATCATTGTTGAAAAGCGTTTCAATTCTAAATACATAATCTAAAAGTACACTGGAATTTTCCAATTAAATAGTTTCAATTTAATTTGCGTTACGTATGAGGCACTTTATTCAGCCATAATAAGTAATTACTTGAGAAAAGTTAGTGACCCTTTAGCTTTTTTTTAATACTGCTATTAAAAACAGCTATTTAATATTAATAAGATACAGAATATAAAATAGTTCTTTTAAATGCATTTAACTATCGCGTTTGACATTATTTATTCATGGTGAGTTAACTTTTTGATTATTCGTTATTTTTTTATTCTTATAACTTTTGCCAGAGTGACGGGCTAAGCCCATCCGTCCGTGAACTCGCAAGATTAAAGTGGAAGTAAAGTTTAACTTTTTAATAACCTCCTTGAGAAGAACTCTTTCCTGCCCTGATGGCTTCTGGAGGGACAGTTTTCCCCGGCAAATTGAGACGTTAAACCGTGGAAGTTCCTCTCCCGGCGGCAGAGCACGGTTGAAGTCACACTGACGCCCTCGCACTCTTGATTACCTCTGATTATTTGTGGCTGTCCTGGGTCTCTAGACTTCGAGCCCGAGGTGCAGAAGCGTTCAAATCCATCCATCGGTTATGTCATCCTGTTCAATGGATAGCGACAGTATATATAAGATTTTATATAATTATCTGCATTGCCTGCAGATTGGCATTGGATTTATGAAGTAATTATTGATTTGGTAAAGGTTTTGAAGTGTCCTGGGATTTACTTGTTCTGTCTTGCGTTAAACATTAAAAATTCGAGCTACCCTATATTCATTTATGTACAAGTTAATAACTTAATACCGGGTTAAAAAATCTATTATTTCTACTTTATCTA